GTTCCATATTATCTGATTCATTGCTTTTCTCCCTGTCATGCTGCCCCTTCGCTCCCATTTACTGACTACCATGTTCGGCTACATGGCTACACGCTACAAAGGGTGAAGATGCTGTGTATGATAGTGTTTTGAGAAGTCAGACTAAAATTGGGAACATGTTTTAAATAGATGCTTGTGGACGGTACCTGAGTGGAGGTGCTGTTGAGCTTCTGCAGGCCGTTCTCCAGCCGCTCCATCTTGGTGGTGAGGTCTTTGCTCCTCTGGCCCAGCAGACTGCGATACAGCTTGATCTGCTCCAGGAAAGACTTGGGCGTGGTGTAATTGTAACGCCGCTCGTTGGCCAGGTACTCCTTGGACGTCTGATTGACACTCATGTGCACGTAGGCCATGAATTTACTGACCGACTCCTTCACTTGAGGCTGCGAGAATTGTAAATCACAAAACTGGTTACTTCACATTAAAAGAAGATGACTGTGCAGATTTAGCTGGAAAGCAATATTTCCTGTGGCTCTCAGGCTCTGAATTTAATTTTCGGGGCCTCCGGTCTGCTCTTAAAATTAATATCACATTCGTCGTGTCACGGTGCCTGACATTTTAAATTATATTTTCAGAGTGTGAACATCATTTTTGTGGGTGGCTTCGTCTCTGTGTGTATATTAAAGTATGAGCTGTTCTCACTTCAATATTTTCCACCTCCTGGAGGAACCTGAAGCTGACCGACTCCAGCGCCTCCTGTGGCCACTCGTGGAACCAGTCGATCGCAGTGCAGTTCACCACGGCGGGGAACTTCCTGCTGCGAACCCTCAGTTTACTACCCACTGGAGAGAAACACAGAGCAACCTGGAGTACACACACACACACACAGACAGACACAGCAAGGTCAAACAAAATTGAGTGTGAAGTCTGATACAGCAGCGACATCATAGTCATTTTCTTTCTCTGTGTGAGCAACAACTCGAGTCGCAGCCTGAGAGAAGAAAGAAAGGCGGGGAATATCCAACTCTGATTAGCACTTCTTCATGGTCAAGAGGGGGAATGGAAAACTGTGAATTAATTATTTGCAGCTACATCATTAAGCAAATAAAGCCTCCAGCAAGCATGTGAATTAAAAGAGTGTGTTGAGCTGTGGGCTACGTCAGACTGATTTTCACTGCTGGAGACTAACAGCTGGCTCATAGAGAGGCTCAGCCAGATGCTCGATAGCATTACACTGAAGAAACAAACATGCAGAAGGCACACCCACAGACACTTCTGATAATAATCAACTCTGGAGAAAGAATTATCTGCATGCATATAATACATTCCCTGTGACATTTGCTTTACACATTTATTTCTTTAAAGTGCCATCAGGTTACAGCATTCTTTTTATTCAACAAACATCTCATTCAGCTTGTTCTAACTGCAGCCTTTTCTGCTAGGGACCACTTTATATGAAGCCCTGTCTACATGTGACATCTTGTCATAGGTTCATGCAGGGGCTGAATTGACTTACCAGTGGGCCCTGGATCGAAAATGAGCTGTGGGCCCCTAACGGCCCCCTTTTCTTTGCACTGTGGATTAGTGTACACAAGGAAGGGTGTGTGTATCTCCCAGACTATTCAATATGTATCTGGATGCGTGGTTCACAATCCAGTATTGTATATTATATATATGTATTATTGTAGCAAAACTATTTACAAATGTGAGTGGAGAGTTGTGTAGATGTATCTCAATCCGTGTGCATCACAAATCAGATTTGTACATGAGTATTATAATCTCTCAATGCATACTGAGATGCGTACTCCCCACACACAGATCACCACAGACAGATCAACACACACAGTTCAGCACACACAGATCAACACACACAGATCAGCACACACAGATCAACACACACAGATCAGCACACACAGATCAACACACACAGATCAACACAGACAGATCAACACAGACAGATCAACAGACAGATGACCACAGACAGATCAACACACACAGATGACCACATGCATTTGCAAATCTGCCACAGTAGAAGTGTAGCAAAAGTCAGGTGTAAAAGGCCAGCCTGAGTTGTAACTGATGACGTGTCTGTATTTCAACTTCATGGAGCAAATACTTCAGCCATTACTATATACATGCACACATTTACAGATGTGTCTACACATTTATGCATACATTTACAAATGTGTCTACACACATTTGCTGCAAATAAAACAGCTCATGGCTTCATTTGTTGCCTTCAGCTGGGTGGAGGTTGGGGCAGTGTACTTTGGAAATATTTGTAGCTACTAACTCTATCATTACTCACTGGTAACTCTACCGTGAATGTACAAGTTGCGTTCTCAAATGAGCAGTGTTGTTTATGGTGCCCCTGGCATATTCTTTACGATACCGCTGCACGTTTTTAAAGTGAATATAAATGAGAACACTCCATCTCACTGTCTCGCTTACTGCTGGAATACTTATTAATTTACCAGGGTTCTGTCTGTTCGACCTTCATCAGGTATGATAGTTGATGAACGTGAAATATTCAAGTGTGCAGAGACTTTTTCAAAGCTTTCAACGTTTGTTAACAAGTGTAGAGGCAATGTACAGATTCCAGGCAGTGGTGGACGGGGTAAAGGCTGAAATTTCTTTCGGTGTCATCTTTTCGGTTTTTTTTTAATGAAGCGCAGGGCTTGAAGTATGTGTGTGATTGGGGAATGTAAGTAGCTAGCACTGACACACGCACATACGAGCACCCAGACAGAGAGCAGGCAAGATGTGCTTTTTTGACAGACGCATGGATTTACACAGGATTTGGTTTGGATCTGTGTTTGTGTATCAATGTAGCTGTATCTCTGACTACTATATAGAGTTTCTAATATTTATGTGTTAATTTATACTCCAATACAATTATCCATCGAGTGCAATGCCCACAGCAGAACACGCATAGAATCATAATAGCATTTTCCCCTCAGTAATGCTGCCCTGGTATAACACCTGGCTGTAGGTTTGCCATGCATCAATGCTTTTGTGAATTAAAGCACATTTATTTGGGAATATGCACCTCTAAACACAAAACAAACTGAAGTAATAAAGGTCTTAAAACCAAATCTTTTCACAACTATATTTTGGCCCCTCTGCAAGAAACGTACTCCAGATAATGCAGAACCCATCAGTTGATATGCAGGTGATATAGTGCAACCAAATACATTTTATAATAATGAAATCACCACAAACAAACAGACTCAAATGGAGTGTGGAGCTTCTGAGGCATGCCTTGAGTGATTTTCCCATCTCAGATTGTTTCATTAGAGGAATTTTTAGAGGCCCAAAGAAGTAAAACTATTTCAGTATTTCACAAGAAAAAAAGCCAAGTCTAGAAAATGAAGATAATCTTGTATGGCAGATTTTGTTTTTAATATTTCCTACCCAGTAATTATCTTGCTACCCCTTTAGAGTCATCTAACAACCACTTGTAAGGAGTCCCTACAGCCAGGTTGGACATTCTGGTCCAAACCAAATTGTTGCTCCAAGGTCTGACTGTACTGACGATTTACACTTTTGGCTAAGGATTTAAACTGGTGCTCAACATGCAGAGTCACACACAGAGACACACGCCTGTGTCTCCATGCAAAAAACATTCTGATTCAGATTACCAACATTTTAGGCAAAGTGCCCTTTCCATCCATCCAGACAGACAATTTGTGAGACAGAGAGCCAAATAGTTGGAAATCCACTCTTTACAAGCCCGTGCCCGTGGGATTGCCTTCCCCATTTATTCACTCCCCAGCCCAGGGAGGCTTGAGCTGGGAGCGAGGCGGTGGTGGAGGATGTGGGTGGTGGTGGTGGGGGGTGCACACTGTAATAATGACAGGATAAGCAACCCCCTGGAATTGTCTCTCTCCCCAGGGGGAACAAAGCGGCTACACGTTGGTGAAATTATCTGCAGCTAAACGGCGGCTTTTCTGCTCATGCCGGTGATTTATAACGACGTCCACTGCCTCTGAAAGCATTCAAGTTCATCTGAAAATGTCAGGAAAGAAATTTGTCTAGGGAAAGGCTTCATCATAAAGCCAGATGTTTATCCATGTAAGAGAGGTTTTATTTATTTTGGAATAGCAAATTAGAGTGTGAGGTGGCATTCTATTGCTATATTAAGAGAGGGTGGAGATCAAATACTGACGCAGTTCTATGAGAGAGATTAATGGCAAATTTCCCCCCTAAGGAGAACTACTGAGGACAACTTTTTTTATGCATGATTAGTAGTGAAATGCAGAGTAACAAAGAACACAAACAGCTCTTTGTCCTGCACTGTCTGGCTGCTTCACCTTGAGCTGTCTGCGAACCCGGTCGATGAAGAACTTCCAGCAGTTTTCCCTTGTATCCATCAATCCCGAGCTGCGGACCTCTGGCCTCATGCTGCCAATGATGCTCTCCACCTCGTCGTCTGGGAACAGGTCAGGAATCTCTCCTTGAATGAATAAAATCACCCACATGAACACTGGGAAGACCACCAAGGTTGTGGGAAGCAGTCATTGGGATTTTTTTTTCTGTCCAGACCTGCGAGAACTGTAGAACTTTCGTATCTTGTTAGGATCTGAACTGACACTGAGAGTCTTATATCAAATCTAGGTGCGTTAATGGAGGGGGTGGCAGGAGGAGTTCATACAGAGGGCTTCTGGTAATGCAGAGATCTGCTTTAAGTCACAGCCTCACAGGAGCAACGATGAGTAAAGCATTGTGTATGTCGACATAAATACAGCACCTATAAATTGCCATTATGTAGCTTCATCTAAGTTCGGATGTTTGTGCTCTTTTCTAAAAGCTTTTTTTCGCCAGGCACATCCAATTGACCCTTCCTAAGTCCCGCCCCTTTTTGCTTTGTGCTCCAATAACAGTTGAGCAAGCCATGGTCAACTTTTCCTTTCCTGTACTTAGATATGCTGTGTGCTATGTTATTCACACTCATACTAACATTAACAAAATTATTCACAAACATACACTTGATTTGGTGGATGTATTGAATCATGAATTACTGTAATTAAGTATTTTAAAAAATACTATGCTATGTGCTAGGCTCTGCTAAGTTGAAAAGACAACCACATTTTGGACGTTAAACGATAAAAAGGGACATATACTATTCCCACATCTTAAATTAGCTACCTATTGTCAGCAAAACTAATTAGCTAGTTAATCTACATCAATAGTTAGCTTACTAGTTACATCTGAAAGCTAATGGTAGCAAAACACTAGCTAACTAAGTAGCTAATTTACATAAAATTTTATTTTGGCTTATTAGTTAATGTTCTGATAAATTAGCTAACTCCAACATGGGCACATGGGTGTCGTCACAGAGGCTACATCCATTTTTGATGATAGTCTATGATCTACTGTAAGCACAGGAAAGGAGAAAGTTGACTGAGGTTCTGACTGAGGCTTACTCAACTGTTATTGCAGCACAGAGCAAAAAGGGCTTTACATTAGGGCAAAAAATATTAGCTAAATCTAGCTTGATAACCAGACTGAGCATTTTGTTTCCTTTCATTATTCAGCCTGACATTGTGTTTATTGTAGCTAACTTCTGTTTAGGAAGGGGCGCTCGACACAGACGCTACTAAAGCAGTTGCTAGGAACAGCTGACTTAACGTTTTTCATGATAAATCAAAGAAATATTAGATTTAAGAGATGATATTTCTGTAAGTCAAATTACAATTACATTAACAATCTAACAACAATCTAACAACAGTAAAATGATGTCCCCATTCTTAATCTATCCCATAATATTCTAAACAGTAGCCAGCACCTGAAAACATTGTAAATATGAATTGAGAATCACACTGATCACTCAATCACATTGAGAATCATTTCATATTGGTACTTTATAATGCTATGTGTTGCACCCTTCAAATGTTGAGTATAATTCTAGACGTGAAGCTCAGGCTTGCAGTCATTCACAGTGATGTGTTGTAGTCGATGAGTAACGCCGCAGAAATGGCACCGCAGTGATTTGTCGCCGTGGTGAAGCAAAAGCATTGCTCTCTTGCAAAACATGACACGCAGTAATTAGCGAAGCCGGCTGTTACCCGATGCCAGCAGATCGTTGACCAGAACGAGGAACTTCTCGTCTGCCACTTGGGCGTCAGTCATTAGGAACACGGTGCCAATATTCTTCACGCCAGCTTTGATGTAGAGGGATGCCAGGTCAGTCTGGGTGACGGGGAGAGAGAAGGAGATGGAGTGAGAGAGTGACACACATAATGAGATGGAGCTGTGAGAGGGCTCAAGATTTGTTATTTTGCAGTAATACATGCCTGAGACCTGAATCACTGTGAGGATACTGTGTTTACATACTGTGGGGATTATGTCTCTATTTCACTCTGATACACCTCCGTGTTTAAATTTAAACCTCACCTGGCGGTAAGAAACTTTATAATACTTAATATGAGACTAATTGATCTGTTCAGATGGAGGGTTTTTTTGCAGCGTGGTATGTCTTTGCAGTGTAATCCCACTCAAACCTTGAGGTCTGTGATACTGTAGCCTTTTCTCAAGGTGATCTGGAAAACCTCCAGATTGGAGATGAAGGCGGCCAATCGGGTCAGACTCTGCTTGCCGCTGCCGCCCACTCCGACCAGCAGTGCGTTGCCCCGTGGAGACTCCAGGATTCGGTTTATACGGCAGCTGCATGTGGAGGCGCAGACAGTCGGGGAAGGGAAAAGGTGTGAGGGAGGGTGAGATAAAAGGTAGGGGGAGGCAAGCCGGACAAAGACAATATGTGACTCATAAGGCAAACAGCAAAAGACAAACAAACACAGGTAGTTTCTGTCACCTCTATGTTTCATCCAGATGCACCAGCACAAAATGTATTCAACAAGACTGAGCTGTACTGTGCTACTGAGAACATTTATGCCTTCAGTATAGCAAGATGAATATTCCTCGTGTCAATGTTTAAAATGAACTGACTTCACTTGAATTCTTGTTGCTTCATGTGAGGTTGTTGCCAAAAGGAAATTCACCCCCAACACACCTCAACTGACATTTCAGGCCTCACTCAGACTTGTCAAATATGGCAGCTTGGTCAGTGGCCCTAAAATTCAAACTAGTAGTCTGGACGTCTGTCTAGCTTAATGTTTGAATTACGTAGTATAAAGAGAAAGAAAGTCCCTGGTTGGACTGGTGATAACAAACACAGGACTTTTACAAGCAGGACTGTTCTTGTCCTGTGTAAAACGAAAACTGAGTGTCAACTTCTTAACTTATATGACATAGCATTACATAACTAACATACTTATTTTACCCCAAACCACAACCTTTTCCTAAACCTAAGCAAGTAGTTTTCGCGCCAAACTGCAACATTAAATGTGAAACGTCAGCTACTTGTATTTTTAAAGTCTAACTTGAGGTTGCATATCTATTGTTCCAACTTGACCTCGAAGCCCTACACATGCACATTTTCTGAAGCATAGGGCCACAGACTAACCAGCAGCATTTGAAGAGTTGGAGTGATCACGAGTAAGGCATTTCAACTACTGTCACTACTTACTTATTAATATCAACTTTCTCTAGCATTTCAACACTTCCACTGGTATTGGGCATTGACTGACACTTCAGCTGCTTTTATATTCAGGTAACAGTTTAACTGTCTTCAAATGTTAACTACTTCCATTGCTAAAATAAAAACTTCCTACTAAGCTTTAATTGAAAGTTCACTTGCTTTCAGCAATTTCACTTTCTACTTTCAGCCAACACTCAATGATAACACTTCAACTGACACTTCAATTTAACCTGCTTACAGTTTTTGCACCTGCAATTTTCAATGTAGGTGAGCACACTTTAAATTCCTTTAGAAAATGTAGCCTTTTGTACATTTCTTAGTCATCTCACCCATTAAATGATGAAAATCTAAATGCTACTATATCTGCCTGGTAGATCCGTGCTAACATTTTCAAAAACATTTTATTGAGCATCAAGTAGATAAAAGCATTGACCTTTTAAAACAAGAAGTTGGTAGTGTTTTTCATTATATCAAATGCAGATTCATAAATATAAAACAATAGAATATTATCTGCTGTTGTCAGGTTATACTGAACTAGTTCCTCCAAGTTCAAACAGCACATCATTAAAGCTCTTGCAGGCAGTGCATCTAATGATTTAAGTAATTTTCTTCAAAGACAATATATTTGTCTTCTTGTCAACAAATCCGGTTTAAAGGTTTTATATATGAGATTTAAAACATTTATATAGAAGAAAACAACTATTAGCTATGTCAACATATAGTGAAGTCATGGTGTAGCAGAGAATACCACACTCCATTTGCTTGTGTTGCTATCCAAGCCTCTCTGTGCTTTGTTTGCAAAGGTGGGCTGGCCACCCATGCATGTTAGCACATTTGAGTCTCTCTGGGTGGAACTGAGGAGAGTGACTAAAGCTGCTGTTTTTTATCTATGAATTAAGGATTTCTTTCAGCAAAACCAGAGTTGGTAATTGTTGGAACAGTGCAAAGAACAGTTTTGATGAGTTTTATTTTGTTTGTTCCACTATGCATGACGTTATGTTACAATGACCTACTAGGTAAAATGTTGTCTATGGAGTCTGGTGGCGAGCGATAGCAGTTTCTGGTCTGGCAAATGGCTGTTTCTGGTGAAACAAAAGATCTATCTCTGCATGGACCATTTCCATATTGTTGTCAGATACTTCATAACCACTGTGGATAATTGTTAGAAAGACTGTGGAAAGACTAACACCGATAGTTCTGGTGAGTTTTATTTAGTTTCTGTCCCTGTGTGTTTTACTATTATCTGCAATGTAAAATTACTGTTTTTTTTAATAGAGTCTGGTTGGTTTTAGAGCCCAGTTGTTATGGTCTGAGCTGTGCCCTAGTGGGTCATTTAGTAGCAGTTAATTTTGTATATATAACCTTTAAGAGTAATTAAAAGGGAAGAAGTAGATGTTGCCTGAAGTAGAACCTAACCTGTTCTCTGCATTTTTGTTAGACTGCCATGACGTATGCTGCAAGACTTTTACAGATTTGCCTGCTTTTGACAGTCGGTGAATTGGAACTGCAAATCCTAAAATACCTGGGAAGCAAGCTGATTTTCTTGACAGACAATAAAACTGACAAAAACACTTTTTCAATACTCTGTCTTTACTCCCTCACACAGTCCCTGGGGTTCCAAAACTTCCACTCACATGTGAGCCATGGCGTCCTCAAACAGCACCAAGTTTAGTGTGGCGTTGACCTCATTGTAGCTGTCCAGCACCTCTAGCAGGGTTTTATTGAGGCTGGTCCAGGACTCCGCAGCCATGTACCTGGCCTCCCCCAGCCCACGGGCAAAGTGGCAGTACAGGTTCATCTCCCTGGTCTGCTCCAGAGTCTCCTCCACGTCCTCGGGGAGGGAGGCACACACACACACATATTGCAGCGGTAAACATACAGATCCACACACTACCCCTGTCAGCATAACATTAGTGTTAAGCTTAAACAGTCTGGACAGGGACACAGCTGAATATCACAGCTGCGCAGAGGGTGACCTAGTTCATTTTCACCCTGGCAACTGTTGGGCCCCGAATATTTCACTGGAGAGATTTTGTGTGTCTCTTCGGGATGCTTGTTTTCTTTGCTAACTTCCACTGGCATAAAGCTGCACTAGGTGTGATAAATGAGGATTTTTTTTTTTTACAAATTCACATCTATAATATGTGCAGTCTTCATTGTCATAATATCAAGTGCATCTCTGTACAGTGCAACGGTCTCTAAAGACTTCCTTGTTTGCATGTAAAAATAGCAAGAAAACATGCAGCATATTGCTCTGTGGCACAGGGGCAAACTGTCCTAAGTTTACAGAAGGTGCCAAGTCTGAATAATATATTCTGTAGTGGGTAGTATTATTCTCTCCCCCTCTCCTACCCTTTCTGTGGGTTTGTGTACACATATACTTGTCAAGTTCTTCATTGTGGCATGACTAGTGTGCATGCGATAGAGCCAGAGAGGGTAGTGAGGGGAGCGGTGGACAGAAAACCATTAAAATGTTTTCCAATTTGCCGGGCTGACAGCGCAGACCCTGACAGCCAGACCCCCATACCACACTGATTAATATTCTCTCCAACCCTCTCCTGGCCCTCCGCTCCCCCCCCCAACATTCCTTTTTCTCCTCGCTGTGTTGGCCACTGATGTCCAGGTCCAGACACAGAGCAGGCAGCCTAATGATTTCCCCCTCCTCCCCCCTCCCCCCTGGCAGCCTAATGATTTCCCCCTCCTCCCCCCTCCCCCCTCCCCCATCCTCCAGCCTCTCTCGTTCTTGTCTTCCTCCGCTGAACTTTGTAAAACTCTCACCTCGTAGAACTTTTTCACTGTGTCCGCCTGCAGCTTATCAAAGACCTGAAAGTCCTGCTCCTCCACCAGCTTGTCTCTGTAGACCCGGTTGGACTCGTGCAGGTAGATTTTCAGCAGGTCTGGAGGGGCTTTCAGACACTCGCCGGTACAGAAGAGAATGCCCTGGGCAGGCAGAGAGGGGAGAGAGGGAAGGCTTAGAGTTTCATTCCAGAGGCTGAATTGGCCTTTTTACACTACAGCAAGGAGGGAAATACAGTCAGTGTGGGTAAATCAATGGGTACTGAGTGGGCAAGCTGTTAGTATGTTTGTCAGGGAAATTCAGAAAATAATGGCAACGCCTTTCTTTCATCTCACTGTCTCAGAAGTGTTGCTGCATGTGGAGATAAGTTCTGTGAGAAGGTGCTGGATGAAGAATTATATATTTTTTAAAAAGGGTAGAGTCTGCATGTGACTGTAATGCTTCCAGAGTGTTTATTTTCAAACAAGACTAAGGCTGTGTCCAAAATCCCTCCCTGTTTACCAAATTGGCTATCTGCCATTTTATTTGACTGAATTTTACACTGTATACCATGGGTAGGCAACCTGCGGTTCTTCAGCCCCTCTCCAGTGGCTCCCTGCGGCTTTGACATAAAATTAAAAGTTCCACTGTGTAACATTAAGGAGGAGCTATTGGCCAAATGAAACTGGCTCTAGATAGGGCCACTGTAGATTAAAGGGGGGTGAGGCGCATGACTTGCAGTCTGTAACTACACCACTAGATGCCACTAAATCCTACCTTTAAATAGAAATGAGAAAAATTAGCATGACCTCCAATATGTTTCGCAGCTCCAGACAGATTTTTATTTTATTTTATTGGCCAAAGATGAATCTTTTGATAGTAAAGGTTGCCTACCCCTGCCATAAACTGGAAAAATTCCCACAGTGGAATTTCAAAAGTGGTGTCCGTGGTGACTACTTTCTCCAAAGAATAATAGCTGCGAAAACTCCCATTGTGCAACTCTACAGCTATCAGTGGTCGAAATCAGAGCACAATTAACATATTAAAGGGGTAGTTATTTTGAGATCAGAATACAAGACACACAGACGTTATAGTCCACTTTATTTTTCTAGATTGAGCGTATGCAATCAAGTTAAATTCAGTTGGGTATTCATGTAAAGTGCTAATAACTTCCCTGTTGGTGTCCTGTGGCCAACAATCCACCTGGCAATCTGGCCCCAGACTGAGCTGCTGCATCCAGCCTAAGTAGATGAGGCTGGATAATTAGACTGTGCCATTCTGCGACAGCAAGAGGGGTGTTTTCAAGAGCCACTTCATCTACGCCACACGTAGAGGAATGCCTTCCCTCCCCTGTAATTTACTGTGGTCTGACCAGCACAGACATAGAAAACTCTGTCCTGATGATGGCACTAGACAAAAATCAAGGGATCACCAAAGTTAATACAATTCACTCTGTGGGGGGCCTGAATGCCATACCTTATTTCATGGCAATCCTTCCAGTAGCTGTGGAGATATTTTACTCTAAACCAAAATGTCAACCTCATGGCGGGGCTGTAAGAGAAGTCAGGGGTTCATCAAAGTAACAAGGCTCTGTCCTCTGGGAGTCATTCAGCTAGCATGGCTGAAAACAGATGTCTTTTTCTGTTTTGTAATTCATACTTCTTTTCATATTCCCAAAAAACAAAAATTAAAACAGAAAATCATGACAATGAGCAGATGAGTGTTTATTGGATGATTGATGATTAATGTGTCTCTAGAGGAGGCCTGTGTGACGTGTTAGAGTTCCCACAGGGCCGTTCACGACGCAGTCAGGCAGAACTCGGCGTAATCTAGGTGCCTCGCATAACAGGTGCCGTACAGGATGAGGAAGAGGACAAAGAGGCGCCCAGGCACTGTTTGTTCCCCTCTGCACACTGTCACCCAGGAGGCAGAGGCAGAGGCAAGCAGATGTTGTGTGTTTCCAGCCCCAGAACTTATTCTAATCAACAGAATCATCTCCGGGGGTAAAGCCAGCTGAATCTGATCTGCCTTCATATCTGAGCCTGCTGAATGTGACAATTGGCTGCTAAATCCACTGTGTAATGGTGCAGATGGGAGGTGTGCCTGTGTGTGTCTGGATACTTTGCGTGGATGTGTGTACTAAAGATTCAAACTGAGCCAGAATTATCGCCGCTACTCTAGGTCTACAAAAGCCAAGATGTTTTCCACCAGTATGTGTGATGATCTAATGCTTTGACTTTTAATAGATCTGTCATTTTCTACTCCATTTCATTGCTTAATGGTGTCAATCATGACACCCTGCATTTATTGTGTAAAAGTGTGCCTGAGCAAAACAAAACACCACATGGCAGCTCTATATAATGGTCATACTCGCAGGCTTAGCTGTTCGTACCAATCGAACAAACTGAGAATGACAGAGAACTTTGTTTTCTTTCTATCCAGCCGACTTTGGCAGACTATCTCATCCTTTTCGTCCCTGATCTTTCATTGCTTTGTTCAACTCAGAGGAGAGGGATTAGAGAGTTCTGGGTGTCGGCATGTATCTGTCTGTCTGTCGCGCTGTCTGCAGCGGACGCGCTTTCCTCGTAGCCTGACAGCTGCTCTGAGCCCCACACAATGCTTCCTCGGCTAACAAATGCACCCAGCTGACTATCCACAGAACATCATACAGACATATTGTGCAGTCAGTAGAGTTCGGCTCTCTGCACCACATGTACGCTCCTTCTTTCTTTCTTTCTTTCT